TTTGTTCGAGTTTCGGCATTGTCTCCAAGAAGTATTCGACCGGCTCCATCTGCATCTCCTTGTAATCACAAATTTCACCAAACTTCAATATCTTTATAACCTTCACCGGACTTGATGATAAGCAAGTGGGACTTTCCGCTGAAGATTTGCATAGGCACCCGTCGACATCCACACACTTAATTGTACTTTTTTATTGAATCCCTGAATCATAAAGGTAACAACTTTCAAAATCGAATTGTCTTAGAAAGTTTGTTTAGTAGTAGTAGAGGATCTATGTTGGTACTTCGAAGACAAGGGTTTCTAGATTTGGATAGTTCTTGAGTAGAGTCGGCAATGATTCCCATCCTACTTTCCAGTGAGTCTTAATAGTTAAATGAATCAGGTTGTTGAATACCGGTATTGATTCACAGCAATAAGTAAGTACCTGAAGCAAGAACAAATCAACTAGATCACCATTATAAGTATGGAATCACTAACTCAAAAAAATCATTACAATAATATACGGCGAGAGTCATGGCAGATAAGTGAAGGATCTGGACATTGCATACTCCCATAAGAAAATCTGTTGCATTGACAACCAAATCTCCATAGCTTGCATGTGAACTCTGATCAAATGTCAAATGAAACACTATCTAGTTTATGATCATCGTGTAGTCCTAGTAGCCTTAGTCTTTTAAGGGTTTTGGAAGATACAGAGCAGTTCCAAGAATAAGAGTAGACATTAATCAGAACTAATTCCTCAAGGACATGACAACCAGAAATAAGGTTGTCAATGCAATCATCAGCTTTTTCAGACACTATCACACTAACATAACAGAATCAAGATAGAGAGTCCTAAGCTTTGGAAGAAAAACATGTTCCACATCAATGCCAGTATTTTGAGATTCTATCCTCAGCCTAACTAGTGACTTGCTCATAAAGACCTTTGAAGGAAGATCATTCGGATAGATAGAAACGCATAAATCAAGATCCGATATCCTATAGGACCTGAATATTTGAACAGGGGCACAATCTAATATTTGTAAAGCAATTAAAGTAGAACAAGTATCAAAAATCAACAATACCAAAAGGATGATTGAAGAACGGAGATTGACGGTGGTAAACAGAGTCGAGAACTTTGATTATCTCTCTCCTTATTCCTTAACTCAAAAATCGCCCCATAGTGCGCCGGTTTGATGACAATTAGAGTCCCAGGATAAAACTGTTTCTCCTATTGATTTGCAACAATCAAATTAAAAGCTAATCGAACACTAGCCTTGTGTTGTACTCTCAGACTCAAACTAGAGAAGAAAAGAAGAGGAAGGAGATTGTGTTGTTGAACGTATTTAGAATGAGAGACAATGGCCATCGTTTTATACACAAAATCTCAACGTACACACAATTAAGAGGAGCACAATGCAAGGGGTCGTATTTGGGTTTTGTGGTAGCATAATGTGAGATTGAGCCCATTCTATAAGAGTGATCAAATAATCACTTGTTCTGTCAAATTGGAAGATCAAGTTGAGGAGTTTTTTTGCTCTTTTGTGTATGCCTCAAATTTTGTGGATGAAAGGAAAGTGCTCTGGCAGGAGTTACAAGATCACTATGACTCACCGATTTTTAAGAATAAGTCGTGGCTTATTATTGGAGATTTCAACGTCACTCTAGATATGGCAGAGCATTCGAGAGTTGACGATAATCCGCAGGTTACTTTGGGGATGAGGGATTTTCAGAGTTTGGTGAATTATTGTTCTATATCTGATATGGCTTCTCACGGTCCTATCTACACTTGGTGTAATAAAAGGGATAACGACTTAATTTTGAAGAAATTGGACAGAGCATCGGTAAATGATGGGTGGCTAAAGGCATTCCCACAAGCGTATAGTGTATTTGAGGCAGAAGGTTGTTCGGATCACTTACGATGTTGGATAATGCAAATCAGTGGAGGAAGTAGTCCCATCCCTAGCCGGAAACCATTCAAATTTGTAAACGTTTTAACGGAGATGATGGAGTTCCTACCTCTGGTTGAGGATCACTGGAAGGATACAGAGGAGATGTTCTTGTCCACATCTACACTATTCCGGTTTGCTAAAAAATTGAAAGGTTTAAAACCGAAACTGCGGATGCTTGCAAAAGATCGTGTAGGAAATTTGGTTAAGAAATCAAGGGAGGCATATGATATTCTATGCCAAAAGCAACAAGCTAATGCATTGAATCCAAGTACCAGTGCGATGGCCGAAGAAAATGAAGCTTATCATAGGTGGGATCTAGTTGCTGGACTAGAGGAGAAGTATTTGAAACAAAAGTCGAAACTACATTGGTTGGATGTCAGAGACAAGAACAACAAAATGTTCCATAGAGCGGTTGCAATTCGAGAGGCCACAAATAATATAAAGGAAGTGGTGGGTCAAGATGGGAGAGTATTAACGCAGGCGAAAGACATTAAAGCAGAGGCTGGGAGACATTTCCGTGAATTCTTGCAACATATTCCAAGTGATTTTGAAAGTACTACGGTGGAGAAGCTTCAGCTACTGCTGCCGTTTCGTTGTTCCGAGTTAGACCAGCAACATCTAACTCGTCTTTTCTCGGGGGAGGAAATCAAAAAGGACTTGTTCGCTATGCCTAATGATAAATCTCCTGGTCCCGACGGATACACGTCGGAATTCTACAAGTCTTCTTGGACGTTGATAGGAAAAGAATTTATTTTGGCAGTCCAATCTTTTTTTGCAAAGGGTTTTCTGCCAAAAGGAATAAATTCTACAATTCTCGCTCTCCTTCCTAAAAAGAAAGGTGTAAAGGCGATGAAGGATTTTCGACCTATCTCTTGCTGTAATGTGATCTATAAAGTGATCGAAGATCATTGCAAATCGACTCAAGGCTATTCTCCCTAGGTTCATAGCTGGAAATCAATCGGCGTTTGTCAAAGATCGTCTTTTGATTGAAAATGTGCTCTTAGCCACCGAGCTTGTCAAAGACTACCACAAAGATACCGGTTCTGCCCGATGCGCCATTAAGATCGACATATCAAAAGCTTTCGACTCTGTACAATGGTCTTTCTTGAGTAAAGTTCTCTCGGCTTTAAATTTCCCGCCTATGTTTATTCACTGGATTATGCTTTGTGTTACTACGGCTTCTTTCTCGGTTCAAGTTAATGGAGAGTTAGCAGGATATTTTCGAAGCTCAAGAGGTTTAAGACAAGGCTGCTCACTATCTCCGTATTTACTTGTAATAAGTATGGATGTGCTTTCGAAACTTCTTGATAAAGCCGCGAGAGAGAAAAAGTTTGGCTACCATCCACGTTGTAAAACGCTCGGGTTAACTCATTTGATTTTTGCTGATGACCTAATGGTTTTGTCAAATGGGAGAGTAAGATCGGTTGAAGGTATCACCAGGGTATTTGATGAGTTTGCAAAATGCTCGGGTTTAAAAATAAGCATGGAGAAATCAACGCTTTATTTGGCTGGTAAATCGGATGCAATGGGTCAGTTTGCTGCTTCGTTTCCTTTCGAAATTGGTCATCTTCCAGTCTGCTATCTTGGTTTACCGCTGGTCACAAAACACCTTTCAACAACAAATTATCGACCCCTGATTGAGCAGCTTAGAAAAAGGATTGAGTCGTGGACTACACGTTTTCTCTCTTTTGCAGGTCGTCTTAATCTCATTTCCTCAATTCTCTGGAGTATATGCAATTTTTGGTTAGCTGCATATCGACTCCCAAGTGAATGTATTCGCGAAGTTGATCAACTCTGTTCAGCATTCCTTTGGTCGGGAACAGATCTAAATTCACATAAGGCAAAGATCTCTTGGGAAAACGTTTGTAAACCCTAAACAAGAAGGCGGGTTAGGGTTGCGGTCACTCAAAGAGGCGAATAATGTTTGTTGTCTAAAGCTTATTTGGCGTATTGTCTCTCACGGGAACTCTCTATGGGTTAAATGGGTCCAAACATATCTTCTCAAGCAAGTTTCTATCTGGTCTATCAACAATAGAGGCACAACGGGTTCTTGGTTATGGAAGAAATTGATTAAATACAGAGACATGGCGAAACAGTTTTGCAAAAGGTAGAAGTCGGTAATGGAGAGACTACATCGTTTTGGTATGATCACTGGTCTTCTTTGGGTGTATTGGCTGACACAGTTGGTGCTCGGGGTTGTATTGATATAGGGATTAGCAAGTCGAGTTCATTGGCGGCTGCCTGGACAAACCGGCGATGGAGGAGACACAGAGCAGACCATTTTAACTCCATTGAAGAGGTACTGCAACTGCTGCGCCAAAAGTGAAATGACATGGCTGACAAAGCTCTTTGGCGGGGAAAAAATGATTTGTTTCGACCAACGTTTTCAACTAAAGATACTTGGAACCATATTCGAACTACTGCGAACACAGTCTCTTGGCACCGAGGAGTTTGGTTTGCTCATGCTACTCCAAAATACTCTTTCTGCGTGTGGTTGGCAGCCCACAATAGACTATCGACTGGCGCACGTATGGTTACATGGAATAGAGGGGTTTCAGGTACTTGTGCTCTTTGTCAGAATCATTTGGAAACTAGAGAACACCTATTTTTCTCTTGTCCGTACGGATCTCGTGTTTGGGCAGCTCTTGCAAAAGGGCTACTAAAAGCTAGATTCACCACAGATTGGTCTCTTCTCCTAGAATACATCTCGGATCAGCACCTAGATCGAGTGGAGGGATTCCTCATCAAATATGTTTTTCAAGCGGCAGTTTACGCGATTTGGAGAGAAAGGAATCAAAGGAGACATGGCGAAGATCCGCAGCCGGTGGAGAGACTCATACTATGGCTCGATAAACAAATAAGGAACCAAATATCGTCAATTCGCATAAAGGGTGATATGCGATATGAGGCAGCCTACCAATCTTGGATCAAAGCTCGGAGTTAAATCGAAGTTTGTAGTTGGCAACGTTTAACTTTCTTTTAGCTTTCTTTTAGCTTATATTTTCTCAGCAATCCGATGCACAAGTTGTAAAAACGTTATATTTTTCTTTTGAATATAATTTAACATTACATTCAAAAAAAAAAAAAAAAAAAAAAAAAAGGAGGAGGATACGACACTTATGAGAATTGATTTTCAATTTCAAAGTCAAAAGAATTATTCCACCGTAATTGTCGTTGATTGATTTTGTTGTTACAAAACCTAATATTAAAGGAGATATTTATTGATTTAATTAACAAATTTAATCAAAACAACTTAGGAAAATAAGAATAATCTTATGGCTTATAAGCCCATTTCCCATTTCCCATTTCTCAAATCCCAAATACAGCCCATGTGTAATTGGGTTTCTCTTTAACTTCCAAAGTAGGTCATTTGATTCTAAGTCAAAATTCCAAGCTTTACAAACTACCCACTTCGACATCCATTTCTCATTCATACGAACTTCGTTTTTGACATTCAAATACACTACCGTATAATGCACGCAGCGACGATTACATCTTGCCCAAGAACCGGTCATTCCGATGAACGTCTTCACCGGAAAGTGATCAAAACCACTTTGTCAAAAAACAAGTTCCAACATATCCCACGTTCCAACACGGTTAATATCCAACGAATGACACAAACTGGATCAACATCAGGTCCACACTTGAAAGAGAACTTATTTGGAGTAGAATTTGCTTGCAAAGCCAATACTCTATCCACGAAATCTGTAAACATTCTATGAATCTCATCCTTTTTTGCTTTACCCTCTTCAATATGCAGATATACCGAGGAGTAATCAAACTCAAGATTTGGTGTGAAAGCAAAGAGATACCGCCATTTTTTCGAGAGAAGCGATGTTAAAGCAGCTTCTTTTGTGGGAAGACAAGACAAGATTTGGCAAATAAGAGGTTCTGGTAGAGTGCTGATTATATCTTTGGAACCAAAATCCATCTTTTTCGATCTATAGTGACAGAATCTCAACAGTTAAAACCTAAAAAAAACATGACATGATCAGAGAATTTCAGAACCTGTTTCAAGGTTTTTGTCTTTTAAACAAGAAGATATTTGCAAATTCTTGATCATTTTCATGATTTCATCTATTCATTCGCATACGTTATACACAAAGCCCTACCCCTATTCATGTAATCGATCAACTATGTACAGGTTTTCAAAGTGTTACAAGCAAATTTTAGTCAAGGTCATATCTGGAGATTCAATGGAAGTCCAATCTCTTTTCTAGGCAAGAACACCAATCATGTTCATTGACTTTACTCTCTCGCCAAGAGCTCAAATCAACCAGACCATTCAAGAATCATGGACCGCGTTTACCTAAAATGTAGAAGGCAATGAAGGTGTGTTTAGCTCCTCGGACTCTTCCACAATACCGGAACACTATATATGTTGTTGTGTTTGGACCATGGGATGAAGTTAGCGTGTGGAATATGTCAACCTCGAGGCCGTTGAGGTTCTTCTTGATTGCAAGGGAACTGATCGTTGAGCCTGTAGTTCAGCACGCGTCGTTTGTAATGAAATTAGCAGGCTGAGATTGATATGACCACTGGGGGCTACCGAAATGCCAAGAATGGCTTTAAAATGGCTTAAGTATTGGAGGTCAGAGACAGCTATTTCTAGGTTTTCTTTTTTATTATACACATTGTAGCAGGTTCATTAATCAATTTATAAACAGCTTCCATCCAAAGTCATGATTATAAAAAGATCAGAATCGATATCTTATCGTGTGGCGATATCATCTTTCTCAATGGTGAAATCCCATACATCACCATACTTGTCATTAAAGTCCCAGATGCTCATTGTGTTGTAATCATTAATGAGCTTATCGCGAGCTCCTCTCTCCAATTTGTATATCTGAGGCTCAAAGTTGTGTGGCTGGTCTGGTTTATCCATCTCTATTATACAAAACACTACCGTGAACAACGCTGCACCTATGAACAAGTACTCACCCTGCACCACACACACACAAACACTTGTGAATTATTTTCTCATACTTAGCCTAATTATCTAATCTCTAGTACGTTTTCCATAAAACAAAAGCGATAAAACTAGTAATGATAAATTTTGGAAGGAAGCAAAAGATTTTGAAGTTACCGGAGCATCAAAATACATCCCTGCAGCTATAGCAGGAAGAAACATCAAAGAGATTAAACCTGCAGACATTAAAAAAACCCGCGAGTTTTCGATCAATCTGCGATACATAAAAAGAACTAAATAGCGGGTTAAATGAATACCTTGAAATCCATTTGTTTGATCCACAGCAGCAATGTCATCAGCAATTGCTCCCCAAAATGTTCCTAAGAAACATTTCCAAGAAGATTCAATCAGACAAATGGTTCGAAATCAAAATCGAAACAACAACAAGAAGAACAAATTGGAGAACTAAAAGTTTACCCTTTTGAACTTCTCCTTCATAGTAAGTATGAGCTCCATCGTAATATCCATACTTGAAATCTTCCTATTAACAATCACTAACCAATCAGAAACAACTTTCAGCAGAATTATGAATTTCAAACCAATCGAATCTTACCATTTCAATGCTATTAATCTCAAATTGACCAATGGGGTCTTCGTTTATGTCTGGTTCAATCTGTGACAATCCAGCAGCTGAGACCAGCTTCGCTAACCTCAATCTCCGGCCGGAATTGCCGCATTTCACGACATTGACGGTCTGATCAGGAACCTTAACACCAAACTTCGAATCTATGATCTTTGGGATCGATTTGGGAGAGAGAATCGTGACCGTTGCCATTTTTTTTTCCTCACTTTATCTTCTCTCTGTTTCTTGCTCTGTCTCAGAGTTTTGGAGCCATAGAAATCTTAATTTTTGTGTTCGTTAGCGAAAGAGATTAGTAGTTACTGGTTACTGTCTGTCATATTTACCAAAGTGACTGACAAATTCGTAAGCGCCACGTGGAATACAATCATTTGATTGTCTTCTCTCGTTGTTGGTTGGTGAACGCTTCCACGTGTATAATTATCTTGAAATCATTGAAACGGCCCAACTTTGTCCTAACTTAAATCAACACTATATATTTATTAGGCCCAATTTGGGTCGTCGGTCCAAATTTACTTGACTGACAATCACTTAATTATTAAATTCAACCAATGTTTTACATTATAGTTATTATGTAAAAATAATTTCATGTTAAACATATATATTTTTGGATGTTTTAAGTAAATTTTTTATCACGGATAAAATAAAAATAATTTTAAATATTAATATTAATCTAACGCTTAAACCGATTTATCGAATGTCTAAACAAGAAGAATCGATAACTTTCTATCGATAAACAAGAAAAATAGTTATGTACGTCTAGACGCCAAAACAGACTGTTTTTAGAACGTTATAAAGGATCTAGTTGGCTTTGCTTTGTTCGGTTTAGTAAGAATTAACAAGGTCAAGTCACTTCATTAATTTAGGGGACAAAAACATAAGTATCATTGACAAATGATTCCCATCTGTAACTAATAAAGGCTTGAGTGGTTGGAGAGTAATGTAAATTAAATGCATTGCTCTTTCTTTGGTTAATGGTTACCAATACCAAGTCATGTTATATATAGGCTACAATATAATAAACCAATTTCTTAATGATTTACTGATGAATAGAATAACATTTTATCTCAACTACTTGGAATCAAATCTCACGCAAATTTAAACGCAACAAGTATAAATTAAGATTTGGGGTTTAGATGGATGGATTGCTACAAAAGTACAAAAATTTTTTGATGTGGAAACGTACTAGAACTAGGATATGACCCGCGGTACACCGCGGGTTAATTATTTGATTTTTTTTATTTTTATAAATTGATAAATTTATTGTATATAATATTTTTTGTTGTATAACGCGGGTAACATGCGTTGTATCTAAAATAAAAAATTTTAAGTTGTATTTGTTTTGTTTAGTGTTTAAGATTGTATAATTGCATTTTGATTTGTTATTTATAGGATTTCACCTGTGGTATATTGTCTCGTATTAATATTGACCCAAACCCGTCCAACCATATAATCTAAAATGAAATTAAACATCATTTTGTTATTTTTTTAATAACACTTTTATTTAAATGTCATATAATTCGAGTTAATTTGAAAGTTGCTTTCAAATAGTTTCCATGTATATTTTTAAATTAGTGTGTGTTTTTGGACCAACCCGTAAAAACAATTTATAATTGTATCTTAAAATACTAATTAGGATTTCACCCGTGATATACTGTCCCATTTTAGATAATTGTAAAAATTAAAGAAAGATCCGAATGACTCAATTTCGGGTCTGAATAAAATAACGACATGATTAAATGCTCAATTTGTTCTTAAAAATGTTAATATAGATTACACACATATTTTTATTCATCGATTGAGTAATATATGTCCGTTTTAAAAAATTTGAATTGTAACATATGCAGAAAAAAAAAACTAAAATTTACTAACTATTTATATATTTTATAATAATTTAAAATAATATAAATATAAGATCAAATAAAAGTGAAATAAGAATCATACATTTATGTTTAAATTAGGTAGAGAGGTTTTAGGAAATTAGTGCAAATTTGTTATATTAGCATTAAATCATCATATTTGATTTCTTTATCTATAAAAATCGTGGAGAATATACCATAAATAAAGCGTTTAAATATAGTAATTAGTTGAGAAAGTATATATATTTTAGATTTTATTAATTATTTTCATTTTTTAATTTTGCCAAAATTTAAGGAAAGATCCGATTGAAGATTTCCGGATCAAAATTAAATAAATTTGACCCGATTTGGGTACCCCAAAAACTGCTGCAAAAATGTATAGTAGACTAGAATTTAACCCGCGGTACACCGCGTGGCTATATTTTTTTAAAAAATATAATGTTATTTTTTAAAGTTTAACTGAAGATATATCATATTAATTTGTATTTTTAAATGTAGATATCTATCTATGTATTATCTAGTGTATGATTACTATTGTTTAGGTTTCAATTTTTAAAGTATAGATACGAAAACATACATTTTTTTTAAGTAACGATGTATGGTGGATTTTAAAATTTTGAATATTTGACTCCGAAGTATACCGTGGGTCGGTTTTTTAATAACTAAAAATTTTAAGTTATATTTGTTTTGTTAATATTGTTTCTTTTGTTTTGTGTTTAAGATTGTATAATTGTATTTTGATTGTTAATTTTAGGATTTCATCCTTAATATACCGTTATTAATATCGACCCAAACCCGTCATTCCATATAAACCCGTCTATATTATCCCATTAGCTAAATTATTAGTGTTATAAAATCCAAGAAAATAAATTATTATTGTAATAAAATCCAATAATTTTAGGATCTCACCCGTGGTATACCGTTCTTTGAATGATTTTAAATTTATATCACTAATATATATTTTAAATTTATCATATAAAATATATGATTTCAGGTTTTTGTGTTTTTATTTTATTTAAATAAAGCAACGGCTTAAATGATGACATATATAGTTTTTTTCTTGTATGTGTATATAATTTTTCTATGTGAATATTTTGATTATTATAAATTAGTATTTTTATTACTATGCAAAATGTTAATATAAATATTTGCTATAAAAGTTTTTTGAAGATATATGGAAAGATTGTGTAGAGATTTTTAAAAAAAAATTAGGCAAGATATTGTTTGGTTCATATCTTTTATTTAAATTTTGTAAAAGTAAATAATAAATGCCAATGGCATTCTTTGTAAATACATTCCAACTTCAGGATTTATTTGTTAAAAGTCATCCAAAAATGTATATATAGATAATAAATAAAAAGTCGGCCAAAATTTCAACGACAAGTATTAATGTTTAAATTTATGGACTATTGCGGTTAGGTGCTAGTTATCCACTTATCTTCTTAATTTTCCTACTTAATCCATCGAAGATATTAGCTTAATGATTTGTAATCCATGTGATGTGACATGCACATGTAGACATGTAGTGTTTAATGATTTTTTTTCTTTTTGTTGTTGAAAGGTTTAGTATTTTTTTTTTTTTCACTGAGAAGATTATTATATATATTGAAACGGTACCAAATGTACCAACACTGAACCTTTACAACCTACATAGGTTAGTGAAACAGAGTGATAAAACAGAGATATATCACTCACCAAAAAATCAACACAAAAAAAGACCAGAAACAGAGACATTCAAGGAACAAACAAAGCCCTGAAGATGAAATTCTCTCCTCCTCAAAAACATGTTGAAGCCAATGAGGATGACCAACTGCCACATAAGATTGTAATCTTTCCTCACGAACAATACTATGAGCGATGAGAGAAGCTCCTCTATTAGCTGACGCCTTCTCCTCCACCAATCTCGACTCCAAAATCTTCTCCAAAAAAATATGGATTTCTGACACTTGAAAACTGAAGGAAGGCCAAGTCTTGGGCCTATGGAAAGCACTAACCAAATCACCCTATTCAACTTATGACTATGCATAGAATCCATAGCCCAAGTGATACTTTGAAGCAAAACCTCTTGTCTGTTCTGCAAACCACCAAAAGCTCTCCTACTATGCAACAACACCTTACCCAAAGCATCTCTAACAACCCAAGAGCACCCACAAATCTGCTTTTTATTTGACCATGCAGCTCCAATATTACACTTAACCCAATTCAAAGGCGGTGGGTCCCATTTTTCACACACAAATGCCCATTCAGACTTTGACCAACATCCTCATCAATCGTCTGGGCCTGCGAGACAAACCACTCCTCAGCGTCTTCAATTATCTTAGCCAAAGACTCCAAAGGACAAAATCTTAGACCTTCAAAGCACATCTTATTCCTATTTTTCCAGAGTCTCCAAAGCACCCAAGGAAAAACAGATCTAACCTGAGGAGGAATCCTTATATTCTTCTTTGTGTCAAAAAGAAACTGAATATTGGCAAAGATAGACAGTTTACTGAATCCAAACTCCGGAGTGGGGACACCTGACAAAGCCCAAATCTGACGAGCCACAGAACAAGTAAACAAGACATGGTTTATAGACTCACCTTCCTCCCCACAAGTCTGACAAATAGATTCCACCCTCATACCTCTGCGCATTATTTGATCAACCACAGGTAAAGCAGCACTCAAAGCTCTCCATAAGAATATCTTGATTTTAGGAGAAGTTTTGCTGGCCCAAATCAAATCCAGTAACACATTAGTAGAAGTTTGAAGCTGTGCTACTCTGATCAATTCCGGCTTATTGATCTGAAAGGCTAACCAATACCCCGTTTTTACAGAATACTCCCCTGTTTTTGTATGCAACTAGCACCAGAAATCATCCATACAAACCACAGGCTTTCTTTTCACAATTAACTCCACATCAATCGGGTAAAAAAGGTCATCCAACACCTCTCTATTCCAATTCCTAGCATGATTATTGTGGATGTCGGATTCACACACTCAAGTATTTTATTAAGTAGGAAAGATTATTCTTGAGGGACAAAAATGAATATGTAAAAACTTGTAGATTGATACGAAAATTGTTATAGTATTTCTTTCTTGAGAGGAAGATACTTTTACATGGTCATTGGCCTCTATATTTATACATAGATAAACGACATTAAAATGAGTAATTAAGTACAATTATTCCTTCTTAAATGTGTCCGTTTTGATTCTTCGACTTTAATGCTCAACGTTTGAATTTGAGTTGACTCTGATCTTCATGGGCCTCGCCTCTCTTGGCCCAAATGTCCTTGAACCGACTTACCCGTGTCTTCTACACCGAACTCGTGTCACAGTGCAGTCACTTCGGATTCTTCGAAAGGTGACAACCACTTCGACCGTCCCTTCGGCTCACGGGTCCAATGGGCTTCATCCTTTATGGGCCATTATCTTGATTACGTGGCAATCTTTGGTTGGTCTCGTACTTCTGGTGCGGGATCC